GAAGGGTGGGGAAGGAAGGGAACCTCACATCAGCTGTGAGAGGAGAAGGGTGGGGAAGGAAGGGAACCTCACATCACCTGTGAGGGGAGAAGGGTGGGGAAGGAAGGGAACCTCACATCAGCTGTGAGAGGAGAAGGGTGGGGAAGGAAGGGAAACCCCACATCACCTGTGAGGGAGAAGGGTGGGGAAGGAAGGGAACCTCACATCAGCTGTGAGAGGACTGAAGGGTGGGGAAGGAAGGAACCCTCACATCACCTGTGAGGGGAGAAGGCTGGGGGAAGGAACGGGACCCTCACATCAGCTGTGAGGCGAAGAGGTGGGGAAGGAAGGGAACCTCACTCACCTGTGAGGGAGAAGGGTGGGGAAGGAGGAACCTCACATCAGCTCTGTGAGAGGAGAAGGGTGGGGAAGGAAGGGAACCTCACATCAGCTGTGAGGGCAGGAAGTGTTGGGGAAGAATGGGAACCTCACATCAGCTGTGAGGGGAGAAGGTGGGCGAAGGTAGGGAACCTCACATCAGCTGTGAGGGGACTAGGGTGGGGAAGGAAGGGAACCTCACATCAGCTGTGAGGGAAGGGTGGGGTAGGAAGAGAACTCACATCAGCTGTGAGGGGGAAGTGTGGGGAAGGAGGGAACCTCACATCAGCTGTGAGGGGAGAAGGGTGGGAAGGAAGGGAACTCAAAATCAGCTGTGAGGGGAGAATGTGTGGGGAAGGAAGGAACCTCACATCAGCTGTGAGGGTTGAAAGGGTGGGGAAGGAAGGGAACCTCACTCAGCTGTGAGAGGAGAAGGGTGGGGAAGGATAGGGCAACCTCACATCAGCTGTGAGGGGAGAAGTGTGGGGAGGAAGGGAACCTCACATCAGCTGTTGAGGGTGATAAGTGTGGGGAAGGAAGGGAACCTCACATCAGCATGTGAGGGAGAAGGGTGGGGAAGGAGGGAACCTTTACATCAGCTGTGAGGGGAGAAGTTTTGGGGAAGGTAAGGGAACCTCACATCAGCTGTGAGGGGAGAAGGGTGGGGATAGGAAGGGACTTAATCGCTGTGAGGGGAGAGGGTGGGGGAGGAGGGAACCTCACATCAGCTGTGAGGGGAGAAGGGTGGGGAAGGAAGGGAACCTCACATCAGCTGTGAGGGGAGAAGGGTGGGGGAGGAAGGGAACCTCACATCAGCTGTGAGGGGAGAAGGGTGAGGGAGGAAGTGAACCTCATATCAGCTATAAAACATGTGGATGTGAGAGTGTGATGTGATGCACCTAGGGAGATGGTGTGCAGTGTTTCACTGGTCAGGGAGCCAGACAAGACTCTTCACTCAGTAGATAACTCTACCTTAAAGTAGCATGAATCTAGTGTGTGATTGCTGCGTCACCTATCTCATCTGTTGTGTGTATGATCACCTTTAGCCTGCACACCATGCAATATGTGTGTGTGTGTGTGTGTGTGTGTGTGTGTGTGTGTGTGTGTGTGTGTGTGTGTAGCAATCTGTTGTGTGTAGTATCACAGAGTGAACAAGTTTAATAATGTGTTACTCTGGGAGCAGAATGCCAGAGCAAGTGTCTAGATGTTCACTGAGTGCCTTGAGAGTAAGGTTGGTACATACACCTATCTTCAAGGTCGTGTGCAGTCCGAAACCACAGCACAGAATCTGAGAGAGCGTGAATGCACTACTTGATTTCAAGAAAAACTTGAATACCGTATTTGGGTTCTTCATCAAACCTTAACACATTTGAGAGACCATGAAAACGGTACTTGGGTTCAATACCGAACAACACAGCATTTCAGAGAACATGCATACAATACATAGAATAGACATTGAACTTAGAGTATATTTTAAAGCACGTCAGGTCTGTTTTCAAGAAGATTGAGAGACGAGGGCGTGAGGGAGCTGCCACTAGGGACGTAAGTCTGGAAATGTGAACGTGAGACATTGTTGAATAATTCATACCTTGAGAGTGTCGGATCGTCTCCTCGGATATCGACTTCGGACCTTTTCTCAGCTGGTCCCCATGTGTTCGATGACAGGTGGGGAATGGGATGACAGGAAAGACTTCGTCATGGGGACACTCAGTACAGCTGTTTCGACATTAAGCTCCGAGTCGGGAGGGTATGGTGCTAAGCTATCGTAAGAGAGCACCTCTTACGATATCTTAGGAAGGTTGTGGACAACAGCTACTTAGGAAGGTATCACCGTCCTGTCATATGAGTGTGGCAGGTAGAAAGCTGGTAGACAACAGTCAACCAGGGCGGCATGGCAGTTCTGTCTTACGAGTGTGAATAAGAGGCTGGTAAATGTTTGCTGAACACGTTTTTGTAACTCGTGTGCACGCAAAATGGCAGATGTGTAAACAACCCAGAAAACTCACATTTGGAAAGTAAATAAGAAACAAAATTGAAGATTTGGATGCCTACACTGAGAACTGCAGCGAAGGCATCCAAATATCCACACTGTTCTTTATGTACCTGGAGTTTACCCGGAGAGGGTTTCGGGGGTCAATGCTCC